AAGAAACCAAATGCCCAGATTTGTGATGACTACCGGCTTATAAGCTTGATCAATCATGTCACTAAAGCGTTCACTAAGATCATTCACAGAAGAATATATGATAAATGTGAGTCAAATATTGATAGATCGCAGTTTGGTTTTCGGAAAGCACTTGGAACTAGAGAAGCAATTTTCGCTCTCCAGGTGCTTATACAACGGTGTAGAGACGTTGATAAAGACGTGTATCTGTGCTTTGTAGATTTTAGAAAAGCATTTGACAATGTCAATCATGAACAATTGATAGGTATTCTGCGAAATACAGGTATTGACGACAAGGACATTCGAATTGTGGCAAACCTATACTGGGGTCAAACAGCAAGAGCAAAAATTGGCAACGAACTCACTGAAAGCGTGCAGATCAAAAGAGATGTCCGTCAGGGGTGTATATTATCCCCACTTCTATTCAATATGTATTCCGAGGAAATATTTAACAAATGTATGGAAAATGCAAATGAGGGCATTAAAATAAACGGCGAGTTAACGAACAATATAAGATACGCCGACGACACGGTGATCCTTGCCAGTACCATAGACGAATTACAACCAGTAATGGAAAGACTTTATTCAGTTAGTGAGGAATACGGCCTGAGCCTCAACTTCAAGAAGACAAAGTGGATGCTGATAAGCAAAAAGCAACAACCTGCTCGACAATTACGGATAAGTAACATAATAATTGACCATGTAGAATCTTATGTGTACCTTGGCACCAACGTAAATGCAAAATGGGAACAGACCATAGAAATTAAGGCGAGAATAGAACGAGCTAGAGCAGCATTTAGCAATATGAAAAAGCTCCTCATAAGCAAGGATTTGTCTCTTCCCCTAAAACTACGTATAGTTAAATGCTACATTTTTCCGATCTTGCTGTATGGCGTGGAGGCCTGGACGCTGACGGAGACGCTAACGAGAAAACTAGAAGCATTCGAAATGTGGGTGTACCGACGCATTCTTCGTATATCCTGGACCGAACATGTCACCAACATAGAGGTACTCCAAAGAATCAGAAAGGAGAAAGAAATCGTGAATACAATTAAACAAAGAAAGCTTGAATATCTAGGCCACATATTGAGACACGATAAGTACCGTCTGCTACAATTGATTGTCCAGGGAAAAATAGACAGTAAGCGAGGGCCAGGCAGGAGAAGACACTCGTGGCTCCAAAATCTGCGGAAGTGGTTCGGGCTCACATCGGTCGAACTATTCAGAAGCGCCGCAAACAAGATCAAAATTGCCATGTTAATAGCCAACGTTCGCAACGGACAGGGCACTTGAAGAAGAAGAAGAAGCTCATAAGGCTTATTATTCTATAATCGCTACAGTTTTTCGGACGTTGTTTTTTTGGTAGTGTTATGAATTCGGACTTTAACCAATTTTCAGAAATATCACCAGTGTTCCAATGTTCTCCTCATTTATAAGCTTTAACATCTCTGTCGTTATGTTATCAGGACCAACGGCTTTCTTGTTCTTTGCTAACTTTATAGCATGTAGTATTTCTGATTTTAGTATTTCTGGTCCTTCATCTTCAACTAAAGTCTCCAGTTCTTCGGGTCTATCATCATTATACAGTTCACTTATATAATTACACCAGGTTGTTCGAATTTCATGTTCATCTATTATCATTTTTCCCGACGAATCGGTTATAGTATGTGGAGTTTTCTTATGATAAAGACCGGCTACTTCTCTAACTTTTTTAAACATATTAAACGTATCATGTTTTTTATTCAACTCCTCTACTTCCTTGCATTTATCCTCTATCCATTTTTCTTCAGCCACCTTTATTTTTTGTTTAATTAGTTTCTGTTTTTCCTTATATTCTGTCTTGTTACCTTTTAGTTTCCTTCTCTGCTCCATTAATTCCAGGATTTCATCAGTCATCCATTGTTGTTTTTTGTGCCTGTGTAACGTTGTTGAATATTTTTGTATTACTTTTAAGGTAAGATCTTTAAATGTGTTCCATATTTCTGTGTTGTTTTCATTTATTGGTTTCTTTAGCTCATTGTTTAAGTCATTTTCTATTAACGTTTTGTTGGATATTGAGATATCAACTATCACCACTGCTGTTTAACATATACTCTGAGGAAATCTTTCAAGAAGCAGTGGGTGATGTTGAAGCCGGAATTCGAATCAACGGAGAATCTATCAATAACATTAGATACGCGGACGACACGGTAGTATTCGCTGACAGTTCTGAAATCCTCCAGGAATTAATGAACAGAATCACAGAGGTTAGTCAGAGATACGGACTTTCACTAAACACTAAGAAAACAAAATGCATGATGATCTCTAAGAAGGAACAGAAATTTGGACAAATCAGTGTAAACGGTCAACAAATAGAAAGAGTAAAAACATACACCTACCTTGGTACGAACGTTATTGAAAATTGGGACCATTCCATAGAAATCAAATGTAGAATAGAGAAAGCAAGATCTGCATTTTAAAAAATGGCTAAGTTATTCAAATGTCATGATTTATCAATGCCCATAAAAATCAGGTTACTACGATGTTACATCTTTCCTATACTGTTGTACGGAGTTGAGTCATGGACTCTCACAGACGCCACCTGCAAGAAAATTGAGGCTTTTGAAATGTGGCTTTATCGTCGCATCCTGAAGATATCGTATACCGACCACGTTACTAATGAGGGTGTTCTGTTGAGAATGAAAAAAGAAAAGGAGCTGTTAACCACAATAAAAACAGCCAAAATCGAATACCTCGGTCACATAATGAGGAACAGCGAAAGATATGGACTGCTGCAACTAATCTTGCAGGGAAAAGTAGAAGGAAAACGGGGACCAGAAAGGCGAAGGATTTCCTGGCTGAAAAATCTACGAACGTGGTTCAACAGAACAACCACAAATCTTTTTAGAGCAGCAGTGTGCAAAGTGCAGATTGCCATGATGGTCGCCAACATCCCAAACGGATAGGCACTACAAGAAGAAGAAGAAGGCGCGATTTTTGCCATTTTTTATGATTTTCATGAGATCAATACAATCTATCCCTTTATTGCCTAGCCACTATAAAGTTTTTAGAGCCTAACCTACAAAATCAATAGTATGACTTTTTAGTTTTGAGTTTTGGCAACAAATATGAGGCATTTGCAATATGCTTAAAAATGGATGGATTTATACTTTCACATTACAAATAATCTAAAACGTTTAAAACTTTTTTTTAATTAAACTTTAATTTAATTTAATTAAACTAGTACGTAACAGTACCAAACTTTTGCTATAAACTACCTCCAAGACCGTGTTCTTGAAATATTCAACTCTGCGATTTTTATTCATATTTCAAATACCTCATATGTATATATCAAGTGGTTATTCTTGAGGATGCAGTCAGTCTATTTGGCCCACAAGACAAAGAAAACTTTTTGACTTACTGTCAAGCTTTCGAATTTAATTTAATTCTTTTTCAAGACATCTGTTAACAAACAAATATAAAAATTAACTAGTTAAAATTGTTAATTGTCTTACTTACGTTCCTCCAGGATCTTCAGGGTCGTCCTCTTTTCCTCCTTCCTATGGGGCCCCATTCGGTTATTCTCTTTATCTATCTGCTGTCGCTAGTTTTTTTTTACATGTCCATACCACTTTAGTCTTTTTTGTTTTATTTATGTTAGTATGTCTGTTTCTATTGATGTTTTGCTTTATTTCGTCATTACTTCTCCTATCCTTTCTTGTTACTCTGCAGCATCTTCTCCTCAAGCATTCCATCTCTGTTGCTACTATCTTACTGCTTAAATGTTGATCTCTAAAAATGGAAATTTTACTACGACTGGTCAATGAAAGTGAGTGATCAATTTTATTGATTTCACGAGAATCATAAAAAATGACAAAAATCGCGCCACGTTTATAAAACACCTTTATAAAAACTGATTTTATTGGCAGTAAAATACAAAAACTGCAAACAAAAGCTGCATTGTTTACCTTTAAAACGCATTTTGATTTTGCCGATAGGACACTTGAATTTTTACCGTCGAGCTGATACAAATTATATTGAATATTGATTTCGCGCACGTAACTGACATTCAAAATCGACGGTCGCTTCAAGCGTTGTTTGTGAGAGAACAGTTCATTCTATACAAAAAGTGCTAATAAACATTTTTGTGTCAAATTATATCAGCTACATTTATTATTAAAAAAAATTTTTTCTACGAGGGTGTTTTCGTGTGAATCCCCAAATCAAGTGGTAAACTTTTTTGCATATTTTTTGGGGACCCAAAATTATTATTCTCGGCAAAATTTAGCTTGTTCGTAGGATTTTTAGGGGTTAACTCTCTGACGACTGGACTAGTAGTATTCATACTGCAGAGTTATATGGAATCCTCAAAGCTCTTGAAAATACTCTACCTAATAATAAATCTCTAGGCACTACTTGTCTTTTCTCAATCGAGTCTTAGATCGAAAAGTCGTAGTTAGATACAAATATCCGCACATAAAGAAAATGCGAGGAGTACCACGTCAACATTTTCAGTCTCTTTTGGAAAACTAGTACCTGTCTAGTCAGACAGGTATACAGATAGGATATGTTTTAAATTCTTGGTTAGTGTGCATGCATGAGTCTCTTAAGCTAAGATCATTGACTGCTTTTCTCCTTAAACTAATGTACATGAATTTTTTCTTCATTAATAATTAGGCTATATCGTTTTGTAAATAATTATCTTACATAATTTTTTTTGTGAATACTGGGGCTGCATTTTTTTTTGTAAAATATCTCCTTTCATTTTACATTTATTTTCCTCTAAATGTTTATTACTTGTGAATAAATATTTTTTTTTCAAAACAACTGTTTTCTAGCAATTTATTATTTTGCGCAATCCTTCAGGAGTTTTAAGATCGCGATAGGTAGACCCACACTACAATGCTTAGGCAGACCGCATCCTTTGGGTAAACCGCGTACTATAGTTTGTACCTAAATAGTTTCTAAATATGATTTTCTTTAGTTGTGGTTTCTTTATTTAGGTACCATATGCCCCCTACCGACTATAATAGCTCTCAAGAAAAAATACAAAGCCTATTTATATTTAGATGAAGCTCATAGCATAGGAGCTCTAGGTAAACGAGGAAGGGGAGTTGTGGATTATTATAATTGCAATCCTCACGATGTGGATATGTTAATGGGAACTTTTACTAAGAGCTTTGGTGCTGCAGGTGGATATATAGCAGGAAAAAGGGTAAATATTACTTATTAAAAAAAAACTATAATATCGCAGTGCGATATCTGTTAGTGTTTTGTGATAATAATGGAAGAATAAAAACTGCTCAGCATTCTGTGACGTTTCAATTATTTTAATATTACTCTTATTACCATTTAATGTTCTCTCCATCCATGCTTACGTATGTATTAACATATTTATAGGATCTCATTACAAATCTTCGGCAACATACATATGCTTCCAAATATAGTTGGGCGGTGTCTCCTCCAGTTGCTGCCCAAATAGTGACAGTGCTTAGAATACTCATGGGAAAAGACAGCACTAGTGATGGTAGAAATAGAATTGACAGGCTGTCACGAAACACGAGGTACTTCAGATTGCGATTAAAACAGATGGGTTTAGTTATTTATGGAAATGATCATTCCCCTGTTATACCTCTCCTAACTTATCATTATTCCAAGTTTACGTAAGTAGATTTTTTTAAACTGTCTTTGACAAAATGCTTTTTGTAACACCTTAGTAAAGTCCCATGCCATTACTTTTTTTATACGATTTAATATAAAACTATTATCTTTAAATTTTCGTTTAAATGCATATTTGGTTTCGAATTATTGGTGTAAGTTTGATATTGCTCATATAAATAGGTTATTATTGATAACTTACTGTAAGTTTTACTGAGTATATAAGAGACACTTAAATTTATTTTACTTAAGTAGATTTAAAAATTAAAAATTAAATAGGAAAAACTTCAGCATAATTTTATTTTTTTTGTCATTATTTGGCAGACAAAATCTGCTTTATGCACATTTTACATGTTTGTCTTTGTTCGTGAAGGATTAGTTAAAGCTGTGACCTCTTTTTAATTATTGAACTTTTGCTATTTGGTGCTTAATTGGTGTATGGACGGTGCATGACAGAATAACTCCTTACTGGATCAAATGTAGCAAATGACATAAATATTGGTATGTCTGGTAGCCAGAGCTGGCAATCTCAGTGCCGTCCACTGTTAAGCCAGACTAGTAACCTATTTATAGGAGTAAACGAAAATATACTCAAAGAACCGGTACTTTGTCTCTACTAATTAGAAAGGTCTACATAATAAATACACGCTAAGAAAAGGACATCTATTTTATTAGTCAGCAAAATATATGGAAAGAGGGGTTCCCGTCGAAGAAGAACATCAGGGCTTCGTAACCTATGTGAATGGTTTAATCAGTCTTCGTCGTCTCTCTTCACAGCTGGGGTAAATAAAATTAGGGAAAGGAAACAAAGGGAAAGTGAAATTTTGCTTATAAAAAATTTCTTCTCTAAATTCGTTTTGTTCAGTTTTCAATTTTTTTAATATATTGTTTTGATGCCTTTTAATTCTCATTTCATTTCAGTCACTAATTCAATCAGCTTACCATTCTTTTTCTTCTTTGGAATGGTCGTCTTCTTTTTAGCTTTCTAGCGTCCACTTTTGGATATAGACCTCTTCCAACTCCTTCCATTGATCTCTATCATGAGCAACATACTTCCAATTTGTTCCAGCTATCGTTTTTATGTCATCTACCCATCTCATCTGTGGTATTCCTCTTGGTCGCCTATTTTTTTAAGGTCTCCAATGTTATATTGCGGCGTTCCAACGTTGGTCTTTTTGTCTAGCAAAGTAATCTACGAAGCTCCATTTGAGTTTGACAATGTTTGTTGTGATATCCTCCACTTTTGTTTTTGATCTTACCCAGACGTTCCTCTTTTTATCTGATAGTTATATACCTAACATTGTCCTTTCTATTGTATCTAGTTTATTTATATTTGCTTTGGTTAAGGCCCAGGTTTGACATCCATGTGTCATGATAGGAAGGATGTACTGGTTGAACATTTTGCTTCTTAAGTATTGAGGTATTTTGCGGTTCTTAAGTATCTAACTGAGTTTTTCAGATCCTGCCCATGCCAATCTTGCTCTTCTCGTGATTTGATCACGATAATGATCCACATCTCGATACCATCAAATGCATTTTCATAGTCTACGAAGGCAAGTAGTTAACACTCATTTTGCCTTCTATATCAGTGTTCTCATTGTCAGCAAATGGTCTGATATACTATATCCTTTACGGAACTCTAGCCTGTTCAACCGTTCGGTAATTATCCATTTTGAAAGTAAGCCTTTGAAAGTAAGAACAATTTTTTGACGCTAATTTCTTGGTCTTTGATGACAAATACTATCTCCAAATATTTGGCACACCTATGGGTTCCTCAATCTCTCCCATCATAGTTAACTATGTACTGGATGATTTGGTATCTGACCATTTAGGTCTTTTGGATTTTCAAATTCCTTTTATTAAGCGGTATGTGGATGATTTATTATTAGCCTTACCACCTGACAAGGTTCAGGGCACCTTATCCTTTTTTAATGAGTTTGATCCTCATTTACAGTTCACTGTTGAACTTGAGGACGCTGTCACCAATAGTATTCCCTTTTTAGACATGCGTGTCATTAGAATGGGAGATAACACCCTAACCACAAGTTGGTATAGAAAACCGATGGCCTCCAATAGGTTCCTTAACTACCATTCCTGTTATCCTATGAAATATAAATTAAACCTTATTAAAGCTTTAAGCTGCCGAATAAATAAATTGGCACATCCGATTAATCGAAAGGAATCCCTTAAATTATTAAGAAATAGTCTAATTGAGAATTCATATCCTTCTTCTATTATTAATAAATACCTTTACTCACAAAGTTATGGATCCTCTTTTGAAGACATACCCAATGGTGATCACCTTAGAAGCATATCAAATAACTCAATCAATAGCATTGTTCTGCATGATACTGATCTTGGGAATCCTACCACCCATTACTCATCCTAACCTTATTTTCCTCAAGTTACTGAGAAACTTATTAAACTGTATAAACAGTATAACATACCTGTCAAAATTGCGGTCAAGAACGCTAAGACTGTTAGAAATTTGTTTTCAAAAACTAAAACACCCTTGTACACTTTGGAACAAGTTAACACCATTTATCATATTCACTGTGCTGAGTGTAATTCATGTAATATCGGTCAGACTGGGAGATCATTAAAAGGTCGTCTCACTACACATCGTAGTGACATTTATATATTAATAAAGCGATAGCGGCTTTCGCTAAAAGTTTTAATTCTTTACACATTTCGCATAGCATAAAGGATACAGAAAACGATTATTCATATCGTTTCGTTCACGGCCTCCAAAGTAGGTGGCGCCTTTATAAGCTAACTACACGGTAGTAAAGATTTGGGAGACATTCGTTTTACTTTCCGAGTTTGAATTTGTATCAGCCCAAGTGTCTGACGATGGCTGGGATAGGCCGAAATGATCATAAAACTTTAGTGATACCAATTCGAGCACGGGAAGTTTAACGAATTTGTCTCCTAGGCCATATAGTTGGCCATTTAATATATATATATATATATATATATTATATATATATATATATATATATAAATATCACTCAGACGAGTGGTGGGTTCTTATATCGGTCTCAAGGTGGAGAAATAAAAGACAAAGTTGATAGGCTACTTTATCTATTTTGAAGACGTTTCGCTTTCGAGTTTTGAAAGCATCATCAGTTCATCAAAAAGTACAATATGAGAACCACACAATCATGGAAACGATGTTAATTGTTACCTTAAAAAGACATGTAGCAGTCAAAGTTACTTTACAATAATGTGAATGAAACTTGAGTAAATGGACATAATACGCTGATATTGTATAAACAATCAAGTAACTAACAACATATAAGAACTTATAAAAATTAGCACAGCAAATGACCATGTGGTCTAAAGTAAATGAAATGTTATTTAATATTAATTGGTGAAAAAGAACCAAGAAAATCATAGACAACTTCCAACTATTTAATGATTATTAAGCTTTGATTTTAACTTTAGGTAGCATTATAAGTAAGTGATATTAATAAAAATTTTTAATTTAAAAAGTAGTGTAAATGAAGTTACCGATCAAAGCCCTACAGCTGTCGCCGGAAAAATGGCGTTAGATGAACCAGAACGAACTAAACCGCAAAAAGACAGCCAACCTTGAGGTCAAAATACTTTTGACAGATCAGCAAGGTGGAGGTACCAACCCAAATAATTGGGCGGTCAATTTAAAAGTTTTAATGAGTTTGGATGGCTACCCGGTTGCAAAAGACAAACCAGTGAAAGAAATTGGTATTGTAATAGCAACTCCTCTCATTAATCAGTCTAGACTTACAAACAGGAGATTTTCATTCAACCTCATATATAAGTAATACGTTAATCATTATGGCTAGATAATCAGCCACAGGTGGTTAACGATAAATTAACTTCCAACAGCCCAAGGTTCACACACTTGGAACTGTAGTTTGCAAAGGATTCTATGAATCAATTACAATATTTGAATTATGTTATTTAAGTAAAATGTTCACACTAATCTAAGTAATCAGTGTATGAAAACGCAATGTAAGTTGCATATGTTATAATAAGTTAAGTAAGGAATATTTAATTATTTTATTTTATTTAATTATTTTATGTATTTTATTTCTATTTTATGTATTTTAATTATTTAATGAAAATTTGGAAAAAGATTTCAAGTAGTACACCTTATATGACATTTAATATAGTGAAAAGATCATAAAGCCTAATTCTGCAAAATTAAAGCATGATATATTTGGCTCAAGTTATTTATGTCAGTTCTCTTATTTAAAGCATTAGGATGTTTTAGAATTGAACACATTTCCAAAAACTGTCTTTTAGCTAGATTGCGTTCAGTGGCAAGAATCTTAACTTCATTGAAATCCACTTCATGTTTGGTATTTATCGCGTGTTGTGCCAGGGCACAAGTGTGTTTTGATAAATTAATGTCACTACGATGTGAAGTGAGACGATCTTTTAATGATCTACCAGTCTGACCAATGTAACATAAATCGCAATTAGCGCATGGAATTTGATAAATTGTGTTAACTTGTTCCAAAGTGGACAAGGGTGTTTTAGTTTTAGAGAACAAATTTCTAACAGTTTTTGCATGCTTGACAGCAATTTTTACTGGTATGTTATTCTGTTTATACAATTTATTAAGCTTTTCAGTAACTTGAGGAAAATAAGGTAATGAAGAATAATGGGTGGTAGGATTCTCAAGATCAGTATTATGCAGAACAATGCTATTAATTGAATTATTTGAGATGTTTCTAAGTTGGTCACCATCGGGTATGTCATGAATTGAGGATCCATAGCTGTGTGAATAAAGGTATTTATTTATGATAGAGGAAGGATATGAATTCTCTATTAGAATATTTCTTAATAACTTAAGGGATTCCCTTCGATTAATTGGATGTGTCAATTTATTTAATCTGCAGCTCAAAGCTTTTATAAGGTTTAATTTATATTTCATGGGATGACAGGAATGGTAATTAAGGAACCTATTAGAGGCCATTGGTTTTCTATACCAACTTGTGGTTAGGGTGTTATCTCCCATTCTAATGACACGCATGTCTAAGAAGGGTATACTATTGGTGGTAGTGTCCTCAAGTTCAACAGTGAACTGTAAATGAGGATCAAACTCATTAAAGAAGGATAAGGTGCCCTGAACCTTGTCAGGTGGTAAGGCTAATAATAAATCATCCACATACCTCTTAATAAAAGGGATTTGAAAATCCAAAAGACCTAAACGGTCAGAAACCAAATCATCCAATACAAAGTTAACTAGGATGGGAGAGATTGAGGAACCCATAGGTGTGCCAAATGTTTGAAGGTAAAATTTGTCATCAAAGACCAAGAAATTAGTGTCGAAAACAAGTTGCAACAGCTCTGCAAATATATCTCAAGAAACAGGGCAGTTAGGTTTAATAGAATTCCAATGATTTTTTAAGGAAGTGATAACACTGGACAGAGGTAAGTTAGTGAAGAGAGAAACCACATCAAAACTTACTAAAATGTATCCTTGTGGTAGTTGATAATTGTTAATAAATTCACTAAAGTTAAAAGAATCAACAATATTAAAGTCATTGTTGTAATTATATGATTTAGATAGGATGTCTGTTAGAAATTTAGCTATTTTTATATTAGGTGAATTAATAGATGACACAATAGGTCTCATGCTCAACGTAGGTTTATGTATTTTAGGTAGACAATAAAATCTTGGAGCATATCCATCATAATTGTGTAAAGATTTAGCTAAATGTTGATCTATTATCTTAATATTTTTTAAGTGGCTTAATATTTTTTAAGCTAGGTCTCCATGAGTGCGCCTGGTGGTAGCATAGAACCCCTCTGTAACAGAAAGCATCGGAAAAAGGAGTACGACCGTCAATCCAATATATATATAAGGATCACTCAGACGAGTGGTGGGTTCTTATATCGGTCTCAAGGTGGAGAAATAAAAGACAAAGTTGATAGGCTACTTTATCTATTTTGAAGACGTTTCGCTTTCGAGTTTTGAAAGCATCATCAGTTCATCTAAAAAGTACAATATAAGAACCACACAATCATGGAAACGATGTTAATTGTTACCTTAAAAAGACATGTAGCAGTCAAAGTTATTTACAATAATGTGAATGAAACTTGAGTAAATGGACATAATACGCTGATATTGTATAAACAATCAAGTAACTAACAACATATAAGAACTTATAAAAATTAGCACAGCAAATGACCATGTGGTCTAAAGTAAATGAAATGTTATTTAATATTAATTGGTAAAAAAGAACCAAGAAAATCATAGACAACTTCCAACTATTTAATGATTTTTATTTGGATAATTTTCAAACAATTGAAAATAAATTTTTAAATTATTATTGGGGTGAATTAGAGCAAGCTAAATTTAGGGAAGTCCTATATTTTGGAAAGTATAATCACAATTTAAGATCAAATATGGTAGATTATGCATTAAAGCTGATAACGATAAAGGCGTTATCATACGTTAATGTCGTCGCGTTAGCAGCGTCGCGTTAGCCTCGGCCCAACCGGATAATGGCACTTACATGGAGTAAGCGAACGACATTTCCGTCGGTGAGTACCCATTACTCCGACAAACGTTACAAGTGCTGCCAATCGCGTTAGTAGCGCACAATTCACGCGTTTCACATACGTAGGTATAATATACTTCGTATAATTTCCTTCCTGGTAGTGCCACTGTCCGATTGGGCTGTGCCTCGTATAACGCTCGTATAACAGGGTCCTAAAGTCAAATTTTATTTAATTAATATCATTAACAATCGTTTCATATTACTTAGTAGTTATGTTTAAATATTACTTACACTATTATAACAATTGGTTTCTTTTTCTTTCATCTGCTAAACTTCCAACGACATGTATGTTGGTTATTGTAATAATTCTAATACAACAACAATTTATTACACGTTCTACATTTTCGAATACATATTTAGGAATATGTATAAATCAACGGTTTGAAAAGTATGTAAAATAATAGAAGGAACTAAATTACGAGTTAGGGTAACACGTGGTACTGAATATATTTAGTGCACTGATGAACTTACTTCAATTTTTTTTGGCTTCAATTTTTAACCTTAATTGTTTTAGGTATTTGATTCGAAGGCTATTGGAAGAAAATATTGCGACAGTAGGTGTGACTTATCCTGGAACGAGTTTCTTAAAAACGAGATTAAGAATTTGCTTATCTGCAGGCCATACCAAAGATCAGCTGGATTATGCTCTTCAGGCAATCGACAAGATTTCAGATGAAATTGATTTAAGATATTCAAGAATAGCCATTGACAAAACACCGGCAGCGTGGGATGACAAAGAAATATAAGACAGGAAATGGATACTTCCTAATGAGTGACATTTTTGGACATTTTTGATAATATAGACTATTATTACCTAAGTGTAACATATTGTATATTTTTAAGCTTAGGAAATAAATTCCTAATGTAATAGATATCAAAATAATTGATGAGAATTGAAATTATAAAGTTTAATTTATTTCTATTATGCTGAAATACCCAGCCCGACAAAATCATATATAATCATAAAAATCGAATATATATATATATATATATATATTATATATATATATATATATATATATATAATATATATATATATATATATATATATATATATATATATATATATATAGTGTAGGTAAAAGTTTATGGTCGGTACGGACCTTACGTGAGATGGAGTGAGAAACACCTGTTTAAAAAGAGAGAGGTATATTAGGTCCGCTCTTTATATCGCCGAAAATGCATTAGTGGAAATAATAAAAAAGGTGTAGTTTAACGTTGCCAAACTTATTGCTTTTATTTGACCTGTTGTCTTTTTAGCATTTGAACAATATTCTAAGATAATCAAATTTGAGTGAAATGGATTTAAATGGCAGGTTAGTGTTTTTTATTGGGAATATGCCACAAGTGTATTATTGGAAGTATCCATCACTTTTTGACGCTTGACTAGTGGTGTCAGTATGTCAGTACTTGTAGTAGAAGTAGTCGAAACGGACAGAAATGAGTCAGAAATAGTTTGACTCATTGCAATATTCAGAAAGTGGACCATAAAAGCTGCATCTTCTACAAATGTGCATTTTTTGAAAATAAAATTATTATTCCTATAATAGGTCAATAATTTTGACTAAGAAAAATAATTCTTAATTGACTATTTACAATAAATAAATCCTTTGACGAACTAGTAATAAATATTTGAAATCGAAAATGCAGATCAATCGAAAAGCGAAACTCATTCATTAATCAGAATACCTAGTTATGTTATTTTCAACGTCAACCGATAGCCCGACTATCCACTGTCCCGAAAGAGTCACATGTTATTTTTAGTATTGTAGTAGTTTCTCAAATCAACTAATCGTCCTCATCGACGTAAAGTGTTCGTTGCTCCTCTGTTTACGTCTACACAAAACGTAGTTTTTTTTAATCAACCATCAACTAGTTGGCTTATCAGTGAGAAACCGTAGATTCGTAAATGACAAATAATGATTTAAAATGCAGGGATTTTCTGATAAAATGAAGGTGAAAAAAACAAAAGAAAAAGTTAAGAAGCTGGTTACTTCTATAAAAAAAAGAAAAAGAAGATTGTACTATTGAAAATCAACCAGTACAAGAAAAAGAAACTAATAAATGTGTGTACCATGGTGTATTTTTAATAAATTAATTAGACATGACTTATCTAAACATACACCTGTATCGAGAGATATAAAAGAAGTCGACATGTATTTGTCTGATGATATATTACCCACAAAAAATTTCGAACGGAGATTGGAACTGTCCATTACAGTGGTGGAAAAACCATCGCCATGTATATCCTAACTTAACCACTATATTCATAAAATATTGTAGTATTGTCACAAAATCTGTTCCTTGTGAATACATGTTCAAAATCTGGTTTAATATTTTAAATAAAAGAAGAACACGGTTAACAAGAAAAGTGGAAAAACTTATGTTTTTAAATGTCAATTTAGACGATTCTCGATTTAATAATAATGTGTAATGTAAATGTAAGTACTATTTACTGTTTTTATTGTTTAAGTTATTTTTCAAGTTGTAATAAATATATCCTTCGTTAGTTTCTTTCACTTCAATACATAAACACATACATAATACACGATACAATACACGATAATAGCCAATATGTTTGTTCATGTACTCGCTTATTTAAAACTCTTGGTAAACAATCACCTAGTTACTTGTTTACGAATAACGATTCAGTTTCGTTATCGATAAAAATGTCAACGACCCACCTCTAGTTTCTTAGGTATAAGCTGGATCGGAACCAGAGATATGTAAAATATCTCTGATCGGAAACTAATCGTCTCACTAAAGGCGTCTATGAGACAGGAATTGAAACACACTGATAGTTGAAATACACGGATAATCCGAACATTTTTTTAATGTATATGTACATTGTACATACGTGCATATATACATATCTTAAAAATATAACAAAAAAAATCAAACTCATAAGTTCAAACTAACTTTTATAGTACATAAATCATACATTAAATATTAAATATTAAATATTAAATAATAAAAATAAAAACTACATAAAAGTATTATATATTTTAGGTAGCTTTTGAAAACAAATCAGCCACTTTGGCCTGTGTTAAGAGTTTTTGATTTTTTATAATTTTCTGACGTATTTTACGCAAATTTAAAATATCGACAAAAAATGAAGATTCTTTTTGCTCAAAATAGTCTATTACAATATTGACAGATTCCTCAGCCTTTTGGTTAGTTATTCTGTTGATCAATAACGTTCTATCATTGTCTTCATCTTTACTCTCATTTTCGGATAAATCAGATTGTGACGTACCGGGCTGATGGGAAACCAGTTCGACAATTTCGTCGTTGCAGAAGAGCTGATAGCCTGACTCATTTTTATCACACTCTGTCCATCTCTCAACCTCGATTTCATCAATTTCTTCAAACATATCGGCGTTGCGCACTAGTCCAGTTAGTTCAGCTATGGTAGGGTCGTCATCATATTCCATGATACTTTCATCTTCCTCTAGCTTCATTGTTTTGTAAAAAGCTCTTTTAATAGTGGCCTTTTTCACTCCATTACATGCATTTGCCACTGTAAAAGTTGCATCTTTTATGGTGAACGATTTCCAAAACTTCATCAAATGAACTTCATTCAACAAGTTCACCATACATTCTTTTCGGTAGAGTCGTTTCATTGCCTCAATGATCCTCACCTTGATCCATTGGTTGAGCAATGGATGTAATATTGGCTGGAAAAAAAGAACAAAGAAATTTCCATCGTCAGATCTTAGGGTCACCTCATTGGAGTGAGCACCAGCATTATCCAGAAGAAAAACAGTTTTTGTGGTGATTTTTCTTTTTTCAAGTATAACTTTACTTCAGGAATGAAATTTTCATGGAAACAATCTTTGAAAATGTCACAAATCGCTAGGATTTTTTGACTTACCAATCACAGTCAGCTTCAGTTTATAGCTGCCAGACGCATTGGCACAACACAACACGGTTATCCTGTCTTTACCTTTTTTTATGCCCAGGTGCACCCATCTCATTACCTACAACTAAAGTTGTTGTAGGTGTTACTCTCCAGTATAATCCTGTTTCGTCAGCGTTATAAATTTGAGAAAGTTGTAAGTTATTTTCTGTAATTATGGTCTCCAGCTCATAGCAAAATTCCACCATTGCTTCTCCGTCAGCACTGAGCTTTTCGCCTTGGATGGTAAGCTCACGAGTTCCGTGACGTTTTTTAAATCGATGTAACCAACCAATAGATGCTTTAAAAAGTTTTTGCTTATCACACATTGGTCCCGAAATTGATATGCCCTCAGATCTTTTCTGCAGAAACCACTTAAAAAGCGCTTCATCAAGTTGTTGAAAAGTTGATCCTTTTAAACATTTCCTTGCAGATATGTTTTTAAAAGAGTCAGATTGAGATATAAAATTTTGTAGTTTCAATTTGTTTCTATTAATATCTCGTATTGTTTGCTTACCAATTTCGTAACTCCGTGATAATGATGTGACATTTTCTACCTTTTCACTTCTGTTTAAAATCTCTAGTTTTTGTTCAATCGTTAAAACACAAATATGTAAATATGTATGTACTAAATTACTTAACAATACTCGTCCTTCTTCGCCGATCTTCGTTTCTTATTGGGTCCCGCAGTGTCACTCCAAGCATAGATCCTTCCAGTTATCTCTGTGCCACTCTCAATTTCGAAGCCGTAGTCTTGGTTAGAGTCATAGTTTAAGCCCCATAGGTCATGACCGGTAATACGCATTGGTCAAATACTTTTCATTTGACGCTAATTGGTATGTTAACAATAAGTATGTCTCACAGTTTTCTAAAGGCTGCCCACGCTAAAGTAATTCGTCTTTGGATTTCGCATGTTTGGTTATTCCTGCTGATTCTTATTTCGTGACCCAAATACGTATATTTCTCCACCAGTTTTACTACTTGGTTTTGAATAGTTAAATGGTTATTGGGGACCATATTTGTCATAAACTTAGTTTTTGACAGTCTTTTGACTTAGAGTATCTTAACAGTCATAGTGGTATTTTTGTAAATATTGTAAATAACTTCACTATACCTATGGTCAATCCTGCTGCCATTCATTGCTTCTATAAGGCTGTCTATTTCAATCTTGTGGAACGCTTTATGAAAATCTATGAAAGTAAGGACAAGAGGTTTGTTGAATTCTATAGATTTTTCAATGAGCGTTTTTACTGTATGGAGGTGGTCATTGGTACCATAATTTGATTGGAATCCTGCCGGAATCTTACTTCCATATAATTCCTCGTAGAACTCTTCGACGACCTGTATTAACTCGTCGCTACGTGATATTATTTAATTTGCTTGTTTCTTAATTTATGAATTTCGCATTTCTCATTCGTTAGCTTTCTACGTAGAACTTTTAAATTGTTATTTTCCTGTGTGGTACATTTATTTTATCAGTTTTACATTTCCTTAAATCTCTCCTAATTGTTTCTTCTTTGATCTAGCAGCCTTTCAGTATATGGACTTATTTTATAAGCTGATTTTCTTATAGGACAGTGCACTAGGTGACTTTCTTTTAAGGCGTTTATAATGCAATTATTCAAGTCGTTAAGATCGTTCTCGGAGGTTTTATACAGTAGTAGCTTATTGCTGATATGTACCTGATATTGGTTGATATCTAATAGGGGTGTCCAGATACCATGTGGTCACAGCTTGTGGTGAACTTGTTGAGTACTGTTACATCGTTAATTATTTGTTTTTTGTCACGTATGATATAGTTGAGTTCGTTCATGAGTAGAAGCTGTTCATGTTGAATAAATTATTTTG